TTGCTAACCTGGTGAAATGAATGAATAGCATTCTTCCCCAGTGGCCCCTTCTTCTTTGCGCCTATTTTGTCCTCGAGTGAATGTGTGAGGTCCACTCGAGAGTCTTACGCGTAACCTTCCAATTTATTTATTTTATTTGCATGCCTTCTTTCCCTGCCTCAGCAGGGTTCCCCTTTCCTCTTGGCTAAATGTGAGTACGTCAACATGGACTCTTCGTAGTTTCTGGTTAGCACAGTGCATGGTAGCAGAGACGCTGTCGTTATGTAAATAACGAGATGTTTGGTTGGAGTTTCATTACCAAGTTGATGGGTTTGTGGAGCTATCTTTCGGCTCGTGCAGCCCCTAATTAAAACTGATTTTCTTCAATCCACATCCTTTCTGTCTCTTACAAAGGCCTGAGTCTAACAAGTCCTATTAATTTCAGTGGGTCTAACTTTTAAGTAGGATTCCCATTGTCTGCAACCCCAAGAATTGTATTTTACACATTGCAGAATAAAGTGAGTTGAGTCTTTCCATGAAATTTAAGCATTAAAATATCAGAGAAGCATAGTACTGTGTGATTGCTTTTTGCCGAAAGTACTTCTGCATAGCTATTCAAGGATAAATTTTAGTTGCAAAAACACTGTTGCTAGCACACAGGAGTCCTATGCTAATCTATTTATTGTGGAGTAAAATGCCATATAGTAACAATTATACCTTTTCACAATTATTTCACTTCATCAACTGAAATTAATATTAATCAATTTGTTGTCTTTTCTGCCTTCCCCATGAGTCCATGTGTACACTGAATTACTGAGGAATTATTCTTTCTGCAGAATACAGTGAAATTCCTTTTTCATAACTGAACAGATATTTCTCTTCTCCAAATTTTCTTTTGCGCACATTTCAGAATTAACATACTTCTAAATTCCTTTATTGTAGCATTGACTCGTTCTGCATTCAGGGCAAGGAAGGATGATCCAAATAATCCTAACTGGATCAGAGTTGGTCTGACTTTTGCTTCAACAATTGCTATTTGGACGCTGGTAAGGATCATCTTCACCTCAATGAAAATGTTCAGCTATTGTGAGGTTGCTGGGAAAAAGCAAATTCCATGTTAAATAAGGCTACTAATGTTTAATACAAAGCTAATGTATGTACAGCTGTGTAAAGTTCTTAGTCACTGTACCTGAAGTAGGATATTGGAGAGTTGGAAAAAAGCAAAGAAAAGAAGGGGCTGGAGGAAGTACTGTGAGGGAAGGTCACAATATCTGGGGCTGTCTAGCTTAGAGAAAAAGCAAATGGAAAGAGACGTGATAGAGGTGCACAAAATTATTTGTGGTGTAGAGAAAGTGGATAGGGAGACAATTTTTCTCTCTTGTAATATGAGAACCTGGTATCATCCCATCCTAACTGGTGGGACATTCAAGACAGATGAAAAGGAAGTACTATGTCACACAGCATATTGGTAAACTATGAAATTCACTACCGCTGCCGTGAAAGATAAGATTATCAATAGTGACTAGTTCTGATTCCTATATACTTTCTCCAATATTGGAGGCAGTGTGTCTATGTACACCACTTGCTGGGGAACATGGGCCGGAAGGTGCTGCTGCATTCATGCTTGTGGGTTTCTTGTTGGTAGCTGGTTGACAACTGTGTGAACAGAATGTCAGACTAGATGAACCTGGAGAGGTTGTGAACTCTTCCACACTGGAGGGATTCAAGAACACAATCTGTGAGGGATACTTTAATTTGGAGTTCTGTGTTGAGCCTCATGGCCTTGCTGACCCCTTCTAACTTTACTATTCTGTGATTCAGCATGTCTGTTCTTATGTTTGTGTGTAAAAAGAGATTAGCAATACGTTCAGTAACAATTAGTAATTTATCTCAGTAAATGAAATACAATAGTTCTTTTAGTTCAGGTCACATCCTTGATTTCTCATAATCTGAGCAATCATAGTTCCGTTTCTGTAGCACACTTCATAGTTTTGGAAACATTATCTTACTCCTTTAAGGTATAGGAATAGGTAAACTTTGTTCTTGCTACAGATTTTCAAACCAGGGGCTAAGAATGTATTGGTCATGATTCTTAAAAATTGTACAGGTACATCTCATTGACAGTAAAGCTGTACTAGTATACATGTGTTCCTTGCCTTGACAGTATTAGAGTGACAGAAAAGTAGTGAATGAGTATCTACAGAAAAGTAAGCTTCAGTAATTGAAGGACAGTTGATAGTTGGCAAGACTGTATAGGGTTCTTTAGATTCAATGTTAGCCTCAAAAGTAAGGTAAAATGATTGTACTCATTTTGTTAAAGCCTCCACTCTATGTTTTTCTCTTCAATACGTTTAAATGTTTCTGGTAAGAATGAAGTCACTAGTGGCCTGACCATAATAAAATAATTTGTGCTGCGATTCCTCATGATGTTTAATCATATATATTTATTTTTAGCTCATTAAAGAACATAATGCAGATATAGCAGAATATGAAAGGAGAAAGGCAGGGCAAGGAACTTAGCGATGGTCCTATACTATTATGGTAAGTGTGCAAATTAAGCTGTACACTCCTAGTACTGGTTTCTTTTGTTTATATAAGATTAATTGCCATCCTCTAGGAGGCTTGTACCACTGCTGTATTTCTACTAAGCCTTTTTCCTCCTCAGCCTTGTTGTGTTTATCTGCTGTAAAAGTAATACATTTGTCTTATTTTAAAATAAGTTTCTTCATTTGTTAATTGATTATATGTAATGGTGACAAATCATGAGTCAATTAGCATACAATTTGTGAGGTTGCATATGAGCTGCTGCCATTTGCCTATTTATCCTGCTGTTGGCCTGATGATAGGTACTTTTATGATGTGCAAATCCAGACACTATGGGTTATTTCTCCATTAATGGCTAGGAGAAGGGCCTTCTCTGTAAAGGGTTTTACATCTTTTACCAAAAGAGATCTGCCTGGCACTGGCATTTCCTTCTTTTAGGTGCCAACTGAGGACATGTTTTATTTCATAGTCACTTTGGTGACTGAGTGGTTTTAATTAGTATATTGTTGTTGCTATTGCTATTAAGTGTTTATTGGCCAGGTGATACTTATATTTATTCTTATTTCTTATTTTTGAAATGACTGCTTTAAATTTATTTATTTATTTATTTAGCTTGTTATTTTATTGTTTCATTATTTTAGCATTTAAATTGGGTGGCCCCAGTTTAATCATTTTCTAATTTAAGTTGGGTGGTCTAACATGTGGTGTGTGGGCTGCATGCAGCCCCTGAGGCCTTGTTCTGTGGCTGTCTTGCCTCTCGGAGCCTCCTGTTTCCTTCTAGTCAGATCCCATCAGTGGCACAAGCATGATTGTGTGCGAGCTGTCCTGAGGCTGCCATCCCATTCCACACTCTCCCTGAGGTTGGTGGCCTCATGAGAGCTTGCCCCAGCATGCCCTCCACTGCTCCACCTGATGGACATAAAGGCTCCCCCTTCTGATTGGTCGGGATTGGTTGGGATTACACACATCTGCTGAGGTGGTGCAATTGCCACCATGGTTTCTTACCCACACCCAGAAAAGAGACCAGACTGGAGGCATTCCCATCCCCTCCACCTGGGAAGGTGAGCTGCATCTGCTGGGAGACAGAAGAGGTGTCTGCCAGGTCAGGGTAGCATGTCCTGCTGGAGTTCCCGCCTGGCAACACAGCACCACTTCTAGCTGCTGTCCCTCCACGCTTCTGGCCTGCTGTGGTCTAGTTCCATCACCACAACAACCATGGCCTGTGTGGGCCTGGTGGGCATGGAAGAAGCACTGAGCTACACCATCCCACTGCCACTGCTGTACAAGACCAATGAGAAGGTGGCGCTGCCAGCCAGGACCACCCTGAAGTAGTGTGGCATCACATTCATGCACTACTACTGTGGCCCGGAGGGCAGCTTGCTGTCGGTTGAGCTGCTGAGCCTCCTGGCACATGACTTCAGTGCCAAGCACAGCTAGGTGGCCAAGATCACAGCCTTGCAGGAGTAGTGCAAGGTGGCCAGGGCAAAGGAGCCCAGGCTCAGTGCCCTCCTGCAGGCAGAGGACTGACTGCAGCACTGCCTCACGCCATGCTACGGGGCCTCTTCCAGCACCTTGACCAGCAGGAGGGCAGCCTCCACTTCCTGGCAGATCTCTGTTGGCAGCTGCTAGAAGCCCTGGCAAGCAGGGAGGCCAAGGAGCCACTCTGTCAGGGGGACCTCAGAATGGTTTGGAACAGTTTGTGTGCTTGGAGAACAACTTTGTTTCTTCTTGCATGCCACTTCTTGCAGCAGAAATTTGGGTAGGAAGAAATTCAACCAGTCTGGCAGTGGAATTCAACTGGTCTGGTTTCCTGATAGCTTTCTCACTTTTTGAAATCACCTGTATGCCCTGCTTTTTTTCTCTTGTAAGGCAGCCAGGACAGTTGATCTAATCCTCTTCTTTAGCTTCATTTTATCCTTCCACCAACAGGGGAGACTGAAAGTCAGTGCCTGGCCCAAGGTCACCTAGTGAGCTTAGTGGCCAAGTATAGACTTGAAATTGGATCTCCTAAGCCTGATCTCAAGCAGAGAGTGGGTCAGTCTGGTGGCCTTGCAGAGGTTTATTCCAGCATACCCTGTGCCGATCCAGGAGCTGAGCGCCTTTGCACTTGTGGGCAGGCCATACTGGGAAGAGCTGGTTGGCTCTGGTACAAGATGCTCAGCGCATTAATTCCAAGAAGGAAAGAGGGACCTGGGGGGGGGGGGTGTCACATGGGAGGGTTTCTGGGTGGGAGAAACAGAAAAGAAAGGGATGGGCCACCCCAGAGGAGCAGTCATTGTGTTAGGGCTATGGCCAGAGAAGGAGTTGCCTGTGATGTCTGCAAAGCATGGGCCTGTCATTCAGTTAGTCCTGAAATCATCTTAAGATTGAGCAGTGATTATCTTCCTATTTAATGGTTAATTAAATATATAATTGTGTGTACTGAACTAAATATATTGTGAACACTTTATGATATGGAAATGTAATTCTTTGTTCAGCCCTCAGGTTCTGTGTCAAAGTCCTCATGTGGCCCTTGAGGTATGAAAAGTTAGATCACCCTGATTTAAATTGTTTAAATTGTACTGTTTTATTGTTTTTTTATTCTTGTTTGTGTAAGCCACCCTGATTGCTTTTGGCTAAGAGGTGTGGCATATAAATTTAATGAATACAGTAATAAATAACCCAGTGTCCAGTTTTGCTCATCACACAGCAATCTCTAGCTGAGCTTAATGGAGGTTGATTATTTGAAGTGGAAGCAGTTTACATGTGGCATACTGGCCAACAAACTGTAGGTTAATTAAACCATGATTTGCTGCCATAAGTACTGGTCTTTTGTATTCCAATTTCTAAATCAAGAGGTAAATTACTTTTCATTTGCTAACTAACTGCCATATTTAAATATCAGAGACACCTTCCTCTTCCCCACCTTCTACTGCTGTAGCATGTAATGGCTGTGATCAAATATTATTACAATGACTTCTCATTACAAGAACAAGCAGTGGTGAGCATCTTGCACATTCTCTAGGCCTTCCCTGCACCTTCTGAAGTCTTAGTTCTGTGTTACAGTCAAATGTAGAGAAATTGTTTAGGCTAAACAAGCCAACTTTAGACTTTGGGTTATGAAGCTGGCTTGCTGTAACTTAACTGCAGTTAGAGTTTGAAATTAATGCTATTTTCAGGTTATCTAAGATTGGAAGGGAAAACATCCATTTTTCTGCCACATCAGAGGAGGAGAGGGGAAGTCTAGGCCAATTCTCATAATGATAAATCAGTAATCATTGTTATTGTTGATTCTGAGTATGGCAGATAGGTACATTTCCAATGTATGCTCAGAATTCTTGTTCCTTATTATTCCAAATGACAGCATGGGAAGGTGAGGAAGAATATGAATCTGTCTTCCTTTCATTAGCAATTGTACAATAGTGGCATTATGATGTATACATATATTTCTGGCCTTGATTCTATCACCATGTGGTATGTTTCTGGATTTAAAATGTCCCAGAATAGTAGGCTGGATATCATGGATAGCTATAGCCCCAACCTTGGGAGTTGCAAGTGGCTCATTTATTACAGTGTTTGCATGTTGGAAGTCCCATACATATAGTTAATTGAACTAAAAATTGTTTATTTGACATTCACTTAGAACAGCCCCTGTGCAGTTTGCTGATGCATTAAGCTGCATTTCTATAAGCATGCCAATTCTGGGAATAGTTGCCCTTTACTTCTTTATTAGACTGTTTCCTGGTTTTAGACTGAAATTATTATGCCCTACTCTACTAGGTTCTAAAAGATTGAATGTTCGTCAGTTAACATGTGAAGTACGTGTTTATGATATTAAAATAGATAGTCGCTGTTCTTTCAATTTCTCATGACTAAAAGTGTAAAAAGGAATTCTCAGGCACTTGCTCCCCATTCTTAATTTTCATCAGTTTGTAAGACTGCCACGTTACCTGACTTCAGGGAATAGGGCTACTCTTTGAATATATTGTATTGCAAAGTGTGCATTTGCTACTGTTGCACAATAAAGTATGTTTTTATAATCTTCTTCAAATCTCTTTTCCAGGTTTAAAAAGTTCTTGTAGCTGATGTATACTCTTCAAAAAGATTATTTAGCAAATAAACTATTGGTTGTTGTATCCATTCTTCAGTAAACATTGATCTTCCTGAAATAAGTATGGAAGTGGCTGAAATGTTATTGCTTTTTGTGAGCACTTCTAAGAGTTACAAATAAAATACATTCAGTTTAATGCTTTGTATAATTTATTCTTCCTATTTTACATAGAAAAGTATCTGTCTTACACACATCTACTCAGAAGTATGTCTACTGTGCAGGGAAGTGTCTATAAAGATTAGTGCACTTTCTGCTTTGTTTTCTTTATACAGCAGCCCTAATTACGGGTCATCTGTTTTGAGTGTGTCTCCATTGTAGCAATAAATTGTAATCTGTAGGAGAAAACATTGTTGCTACTAGTTAAAAAGAATCCTTCACACGACGCAGTTAAACGATGGACTTCTCTTCCCCAAAATGAACGGATCTCCACCAATTTGGAGAACTTTAAAAAGGCAGTGGATAAATTCATGGAGTAGGCTATCTGAAGCAAAATGTTCCATCAGTCGCTAGGGGAAATGATTTGGGAAATAGTACTGCTGGGCTTCTCTGGGCAGCTGGCTGGCCATAGTGCGAACAAGAACGCAGGGCTGGAAGGACCCCGCGTGCTGCTAAGGGCTTCCTCTGGCGAGGGCTGCGCTGCAGGTGCAGTCCCGCGCCTCCGCGCGCCATGCTTGCATTTCTGCAGGGTCAGCGCGCTGTTGCGGCTTCTGCCCCGTGTGAGGCCGCCTCGCGCAAGCGCCACCCTCCCCCCGTCCGCACGCACGCCGATTTTCCAGGGGCAGGAGCTAGGACACAACAGAGAAGATCCTGCCAAGCGTGTGCGAAGATAGCCGCAGGGCAGGCTAAGCGTAGGCAGGGAGGAGCGCCCGCCACGGATTGGGCGAGCCGTGCGCTCGGTCTCCGCCTGGTCGGCCCTCCTCCCGCGAAGCGGCTGTCATTCTCCACTGCGCGGCCAGCTCGTCGCAGGTTCAGCCTTTCGAGGACGCCCGGTCGGTGCTGCGGCGCCGCCACCTCTTCCCGCAGCCACCATGTACCTGTGCAAGACGGCGTGGCAGAGCTTGGCCTCTCGCCTGGCGCGCTCTGCTGCTCTGTGCTGCGGGCACGGTGAGTCGGGGAAGGGCGTTCGGGCGCTGCGGGGACCGACAGCCCTCCGACGCAGCGGGAGCTGCTGGTCAAGCGGCGCGGCCAGCCCGCTTGTCTGCGTTGACGTGCCTGCGCAAGGAGGTCGCGCGGAGGGGAATTGTTTGCGTTGGCAGCTGAGCGTGCACGGGAAAGGAGACGTGAAGGTCACCGGCATGAGGCAACGGAGAGGAGCCGAACACGGGGCCTTAATAATGCATGCCATTAGCCCAGCCCGTCAGCGCCGGCGAGGCAGCGACGGCGTTGCCTGTCAGTAGAGCGTTGCGAACGCAGCCCCGGGGCCGTGCTTGCGCGCAGGGGGAAAGGGCAGCCACCGACGTTTCCGGGGAAGCGCGCCTCTCGCCCCCCGCGTTGCTCCTCCGTGAATTGAGCAACGGGGCACGAGCAGGGCTGTTTACTGGAGGGGGAGGAGGGCTCCGTCACTGCCAGGCCACCCGAAGGCTTTCGCCGGGCAATGTGGAGTCGAGCTCGGACTAAGTACGAGTTCACACTGGAAAGAAAGACGGTGGATAGGGTAGGAAGGTCTTGAAAAAAGGCCGGTAGTTTGGTGGAAACACGACTGAGATGAGACATCCAGAGAAAGAACCCATGTGGCTCTGAGTAAGCGAAGAGAACCTGCTGGGCAATTTCTGGCCAGGTGGATCGAACGCCCCCCACCCTCGTAGTGTTTGGACATTATTGATTCTTAACAACGGCTGGTGTCTCTAGGCTTTCGTAGGTTATTAAAAAACGTCTTAAAACAATCTTTAGATCTAGAAAGGGCTATAATTGTATTTAAAGTCTTAATAATGTAACTACAGAAAAAAGCAGTCATTGCTATGAATCTAGCAAGTGCAAGACTCCAGCCAATCTGTAGCATCCTATCGCAGGCATTTGTCTTATTGCTATGTAATGAGTGGAAGGTAGACGAAGTCCAGGTGGAATAGCCCTTTTGCAGCATCATGAGCGATGGGTGACTGCACAGACAGTTATTCTTCCTGGGCAAAAATAATTTCCCCATCCCTAAAATGTTCCTGTAACAGTAGAATCACATTTTTGCTTCATAAGCTGAAAAAGGAGAAAAGGATAATATTGGTAAGAGATGCAGATATAACAACATGGGACAGGGGACAAGGGGCAGGCTGCAGCTTTGCCAGTGATACCAAATCACCAGTGTGCTCCTGTGGCTGGATTCTACTAGACTGTGATTTTCCTGGTGATGTGAGAACATGTTTTCTGTACCTTGAAAGATGCTATCACCTTGAGAGGGTTCCGCACTAGAGGAAACCTATAAATAGTTATAATAAAATGATTCCACAGTTGTCAAAAAGATATGATTTATAGCTGCACACTTACTGTGTGAAAACCATTGTACGGAAGTGCTGCAAGTTAAACATGCACATATACAAGACAGTAGGAACTGTGCCATGAAGGATAAATGTAAAGCCTAGTAACGGTTTATTTGGGAAATGAATACAATTCGATTTCTATAAATTTGCCTTTAAAATACCTCTTTTGTGTCCTTTAAAATTAATTGGTTTACAGTTGACACCTGTTAGCTGCATTCCCCATTGTTTAAGACTGAATCATTCTATAGCAAACTTGTGGCTCTTTATCTAGCCAAAGTAACACTATCCATGCATATGAGGGAGATACCAGCAAAATTAAGTTCACCACAAAGTGAACCCCAAATCTTTAAGGGAAGCAACCCTAAAGGGTGGCAGAGGGGGAAGGAATTAGTATGTATCTTTAATATGAACTAGGGAGGTAGAAATTCTATTTGAAATCACCAGGAAAAAGAGCAGGGTAAATCACCTTGTTAAAAATTTATTCTAAGAGTCTTTGAGAGCATAATTAAAAACTTCCTTAGTAATCTATCTGGTTGCCCTCTTAACTCAATTCGGAGGAAACATTGGGCCATTAGCCACAAATGAAATTATTGCAAGTAGTAACAGCACTATGCTTGGAGTAATAAAGGAAGCTCAAGCTAACCTAATTATCTTGCCCTCAAAGCATGAAAATGTTGGGCTTGGAAGCAGAGAACATGTTTTGAAAAAGAGCTTGTGAATTCCAACATTAAGGCTATAATCCTATTCCTCTTTGTCTAGGAGCAGGTCCTGCTGAACAGGGACCTACTTCTGAGTAGATATAGAATTGTGCAGTGGGGAGGCCTTAGAATTCTGCTTGCCTTTTAGAAGGCTTACTTATCCCACTGTTTACCAGTTGTAGAACCTTCTCTTGGGAAACCTTTTCCTATGGGAATGATCATTTAAAAAAGAAAAAAAAATCTTTGTAGTTAACTTATGTAACACCTATTGTTTAAATTACTAGCAAATTAATTTTTTAGTTCATCATGGGTCTTAACATGTTAAGGTGGGATTGCTTTGTTTGTCAGCAAATACTTATTCCAAATTTTGCTGAATAATGGAAATGTAGACTGACAGATTCTCCTTGGCATCTCAGCTGTGCTCTGAGATCAGAACTAAACCTGGTTGGTAGTGGAATGGCCTGGAGAGAAATGCCATTCCCATTCCTTGATGTTTCTGTTCCCCTCACCTTTACATACTGGTTATTTTGAAATCTGTATATGTTCATTGACATCTAGTTTTGCCCTTCATTTAAAACTTTATAATCTATAAAATTCATTTTGTTAGTAATACATATATTCATTTATATAATAAAAACTCTAAATATTTTAATCTCTGTATGATCTTTTTGTGCATAATTTCTATATATGTGAACTTGAATGACTACTCTGCTTGTTAATAAGTCAGTTTACCATCCCCCCCCCAAAAAAAGAAAAAGATAAGTGAAAGTACAATCCTGGGAGTCTATTTATTTCCTTTTATACTGCCCAATAGCCGAGGCTCTCAGGGCAGTTAACAAAGTAAACAAAAGTTTAAAAAGACACATATACAAACAAAAAATAATTTAAAACAACAAAACCATAATAGCAATTGAATCAGCATAGAAGCATTGCAGAGATACAGAATAAAATGCTATATAGAACAACAAAGCTAAAAATTTAAACTGTTAAAATGCTGGGAAAATAAAAAGGTCTTCACTTGACACCGAAAAGAGTTGCATTTCTCTAAGTAATATTGTTCCTATTGTTCTTTATCTACCTCTTATAATATTGACATTGCTATCTATATAATTTTTGAAAATGTCATCTCTAGATTATCTTGATCATAACATTTTGATTTCATCTGATTTCATTTTTTGATTGGGCAACCCCCCACCCTGATGGAGTATAGGTATGCTGTGGACATAAATCTATCTTGATTTCAGCAAAACTTTTCATAAAAGACCCCTTGTATCTTGATTAGCAAGCCAGCAGAAAGTGGGCTAGATGGAACAACTGTCAGGTGGATCCACAGATAGCTGCAGAATCAGCCTCAAAGATTGCTCATCAATGGCACTTTCTCAAACTGGGGAGAGGTAACAATTGGGATACTGCAGGGTTCAGTTCTGGGCCCAGGGTTCTTCAACATTTTTATTAATGATTTGAATGAGAAACTGCAAAGAATTATTATCAGATTTGCAGATGACACAAAACTGGGTGGGATAATTAATGCCCTGGAAGACATAAGATTCAAGGTGATAGGTTGGCGTGCTGAGCTGAAAACAACAGAATGAAATTCAATAGGGTCAAATGCAAAGTTCTGCAAACCAAATGTATTGTTAGCAGATGAGGAATACTTGGCTCACAAAACTGGAAAAGAACCTTGGAATCTTTGAAAATAACAGGCTGAATATGAATCAACAATGTAATGTGGCTGCAAAAAGGGCAAGTGCAATTTTAGGCTGCATTAATAGAAGTATTACTTCCCAATCACAGGAAGTACTAGTTCCTTTTTACTCAGTATTGGTTAGGTCTCATCTGGAGTGCTGTGTCCTGTTCTGGACACCACAGTTGAAGAAAGATGCAGACAAGCTGGAAAGGGTTCAGAGGAGGGCAACAAGGATTATTGAGGGACTAGAGACAAAGCCCTGTGAGGAAAGAGTGAAGGAAGTGGGCATGTTTAGCCTCAAGGACAGGATGTCTTCTTGATGATTCCAGACTGCAGGACACAGAATACAGGCTCAAGTGATAGGAAGCTAAATCCTAGCTAGATATCAGGAAAAAAATTCCTGTTAGAGCAGTATGACAATGGAACCAATTACCTAGGGAGGTTGTGGGCTCTCCCACACTAGAGGCATTCAAGATGCAACTGGACAGAGGGACCATTTAACCTGCAGTCCTTCACTGAGCAGGGGGTTGGACCCTCTGGCCCCTTCCAATTCTACTATTCTATGATCTTACTGTATGTTCCTTACAGTTACAAAGTTTTTATTTTTGTAGTACCTTTCCGCCAGATGTCATCTCAAAGTGTTCCTGGATCTTCTGGAGAAAACCTGATTTACTATCTGGTGTTTTTTGGTGCATCAGGTGCAGGTATCACTTATGTGAGTATATGACTTTCTTTTTATGTATTTTTATATTATCTGCAAAATAATCATACCAAAAGGATTAATGATAATCTTTAGCCAAATGGGGATTTCAGCTAGAATGTCTCTGGTAGTGTTTTATAGCAGTGGACTACCTTGCTTTTTAAAATAAGTTTATTAACTTTAAAATGTGAGTATTAAGTGATACTTCAGAGTACTCACTTTCAGGAAAAAGATTCTAAACTAATCATTTCTTAGATGATAAACCTCTAAAACTAGAATCTGAACTGAGATGGGTGGAAAAGGGAATGGGATGTGTGACTTTCTCTGCTTATTGCTATAGAAAAGTAATATAAAAGAGCACTTGTGTTTAACAGCAGACTGGGAAACCCAAAGAATATAATAGATGTACATTCCACTGTGTTAACTGAAAACAAAATTCCACTGAACTTATGTGCAGGATTGCAGGCTGCATCTGTTGGTATGATTCAATATGAATATTAGACATAACGTAAATGTGTGGATGATTGGATATTAGAATAGGTTGTTTAGAAGAGATTTAAAATTCTGATTCAAATTCTGCAAAAATTCTAAATTTGCAAGAAAAGCAGCGGCAAATGTGGAAAAGATTTCAGTATAATCCTGTTTTAGAGATGGATATTAGAAATTCTTATCTTTAAGTTTGTTCAGTCCACACAATTAGTTCAAATATCTTGATTTAATGACATTTAGAAAAATAATCTTACAAATCATATAAGCCTGACTGAAATAAGCTATAAATAAATGTCTGTTTGGACAATGCATGGTATCCTGCATTAATTTCTTCCTTTTATAGGACCTGTTTCCTACTTGATTGAAATATTAAATCTATTGTAGTATGTGAAATTTGAATTGTATATTCTTCATGCTGCTAATATCAATCCTACTTTTACAGATTGAAAAGGTAGGCTGCCCTGATATTGGGAAATAGTTTGAAAGAAAGAGACAGTAAGGCACTCTGTATTCTTGGATAGTGTAGCAAAGTCCCCTAACTTAAAGGCGTAATTAAAGTAATAAAATTAATCAACCAATTTTGATCAACTGGTTAGTCACATTGCTGAACTGGAAACAAATGGGCTGTCTAGAGTGTACCTGGCGTTTTTTGAAGTATTATGGAAGTGACTCTAGCCATTAAAATGCTTTTGCAGACACAAGCTGTATAAATACAGGAAGACTTACCATAAAATAGTAAGACATACTGTAGGACTTCTGTTTGCTTTCTAACTATTTAAGCAAGCAGAAGACAACCCACCATTGCTGTAGCCTTGCCTTTAATATAATGAGAAAGAAGTAAAAAGACTGTTCTTTATCTGGTCAATAGAATTTACTTAAGCTTTAAGTTTTTTAAAGGATGACATCCGGTTAGCATAAAATCACTGTAAAAAACCTTTAAATCTGACCCCATTTAATAATCCTTTGATCATCTTCTCTTATATGAAATAGCTTAGAGAGCAGTGTATGGAAGTGACAGAGAGCCGTGGCCTCAATGCTCTCCATCTAACCAAATTCCTGTGAGATCTTATTGGCAGGTAAGAGGACAGATGGAGGTTCCTTTTGTGCCTCTGTCCTCCGCACATTTTTTTGTTAGACAAGTCTCTGAGCCCATCTACCTTGCTTTCTCTTTCAAGGATGAGGGTTGAGAGGCCATTAGATTTGGAGGGTCCATCACCTCTTCTCTTCCAGCCAACTGGCCCATTGCCTCCCATTCTAAGGTTGGATTCCAACCTTGGGAAAGGAAGCCACCACAGAACTTTCCTCAGCAACTATGAGAAACTTGGAGACAGGATGAACAGGACGATCCACAGAGAGATCTTCTAAGGTTGGAATGCTGTCTTGAGCCTTAGAAGGTCTGCTGCACTCTATGGATCTCCAAGATGCTATTTAGCTGTCATAGGATTGCTCTCTCAGACATTTTTGAACAGTTTACATTTTGGAACAACCTCTGTGGAGCTTGTATAGGGCATCACTCTCTCTTTTTGCTCTTATTTCTATGTTTTTGCTTTTATTTCAATTTACGATCTGTATTATTTTAATTCTGGCTTGTGACAATCTTTAGTTGTAGTCAATAAAATTTGTTGATTATTTGAATCTGACATTCCTTAATTTACAAACAAAATGTCCTGCATCAAAAGCTGTCATAGGGACGTACATGCATTTATCTCAATTTGTGAGCCCTGTGTTATGCATTCAAAACATCCCACCTTAAATGTCATCTAGCAAATGACTTCTGAGACTCAAGACGACCTTGGAGAGTGACTTCTGCTTCACTAAAATAGGTTTAAAATGGTGAGCCTCCTTTTTGTTCTGTCAGGCTTTTGAAACTTTAATCCTATGCATATTTATGTGGGAGTATGTCCCACTGAATTCAGTAAGACTTACTTCTGAGTCTATAGGCACTGGATTGCACTGTATCTGTTACAGTGGTTTAATGTTCTGATCTTCTTGGTTTTATGATTTTCAGGGGTTTAAAATGCATTTTCAATATGCTTATTATATATGATTTTAAGTAGTCTTGAATGGAAGGGCAATTCATAGAATATAACAAAAATACATTTCCATGTATGTGCAGCAGTGCTTATGTGTGATTAGGGACCTACTGAAACTCAGTTGTGATGCATGGAGATAAATGCATTTACACAATTCTATTTTTAGGCCTACAAAACATTCACTTCTGACCGAACTAGATACAATGAACGTATCAATTATATGCAGGAAAAAAATACAGCAGAATGGAAACCAAAACCTTGGCCTCCTCAGGGTAAGTTGATTATATATACAAACATTTGTTTGGAGTTTTGTTTGTTACCAGAACACAGTATAAATAGAAAAAATAATTCAAAACACAATTGCAAAGACAGAAATAGGAAAGAAAAATACAGAAACTACTAATCCATTCAATTACATATTGATGTTTAAGTATGTATGCACTAAGAATTAAATAACTAAGACTGGATGGAATAACTAAGGAGGAATATATATGTCAATCAGGTTGAAAAGGGTTTAGCTCAAGAACCTGTTTTCAGCACTGTAGCTTAGGCTTGGGAACATACAAATGATTATCAAGATAAAACCTTTGTTATTTATTTATTTATTTATTTATTTATTTATTTATTTATTTAAACAGATTGATATAGTGCTTACCATTTAAAAAAAGCTCTAAGCTATGTGCAGACATGACAAAATGTTACATTAATACATTGAAAGAACCCTTGAATCCTTGTTTTCCATTGTTAATTTGAAAAATATTCTCATTACATTGGGAGAAGAAAGGGATAAAGGTTCTTAATGGTTTCCCCACATTATATTTGGGACTTAGGATCAGTATTTCTCATATTTTATTTTTAAATTAATCTGCAGCTTCATTCTATAGTTCTGAAGATCAGATAGTAGTGCTTTGAGGAAACTGTGTTGAACTTGGAAAAAGGGTGATTTAGTAAACCACTTAACTTTCTCTTGAAATGTAAGGCTTAATTTTGATTTTTATATTGCTACTACAATTACTTGCACTTAATTTATTTGTTTATCAAGCTGTCAATCTTCACTCCTTTTCACTTATAGCTGGAGTTCTGAACTCAGTTGAGGAGACACACAGTTCCCAAGGCCCTCTACCTGTGCAGGTGTTTTTAGAAACTTAGTCTAGAGTTGTGTGAGGACTACTTAGGTTGGGAAAAAAACCCTTCAAGGGTCATTTGTGTACAAACACAGGGTAAAAAAGGGAATGAATAAACCAATGGTTTGCCGTGTTTATTTAAATTCCATAGCCTTTCCCTCAAAAATGTATAGTGCAGCATGTCACACTAGAGATATTTTTGGAATCCTGCAGAAGTTCTTTGCGCTAATTGCAATAAACTATATCATATATTCCATATAAACACTGAAGATTGTGGTTGGAATCCCATTGTTTACAGTGGAATTTAGATATGACTAACTTTTGCAGGATTATGTCATTATCATAAATTACTTAATAGTATAATCACATAATTCATTATTATAACCTGGCTCTAAAAGATCCTAACTAAATACAATCAATACCAGCAACAACAGAAACTTTTTGCATCTTCTCTTACCTAATTTCTATTCCCTTCTGTTTTATAATTTTGTAATTTGTCTGGGCTTGGAAAGGTGTTCTAGCATTATCTACTTTTCTCTGTTTGTGTCTACCTTATTTTATGTGACTTTTCCTGAGAAGCATGTTGGATATTCTTCCTTCTCTTTCCTGGGCTACTTATTTATTTTCAGAAATGACTTTGACCCCAACTAAGTGTTTTTATTTTATTTTATTTTGATGTATTTACATATATTTAGAGGTCACCTATAATTGCCGAGGCCTTCCTAGGCAGCTTACAATTTTTTTTTAAATTAGATAAAATAGTTTAAATTACCTAATCTTCAATATGAAACATTCAGAAAAAAAAAATAACAGATTTTCCTTGAGTTTTTACTGACATCTTTTTGATTTCTTCTATTTGGAATCCTCCTCAGATTTGAATATTTTTAATTCTTTATTTTACTGTTCTTAAGCAAAATTAGACAAAACTCTGAACCTCTCATCAAAAAATACTGGGCTGCTTCACACTTTACTAATTTTGATTTGCAAATTTAAAATGTTTTCAGTATATGCTGTAAAGGTGAGGAACATGAGTATTACAGAAGTATACTTCTCAAGAAGTATTGGTTGGTTGCACCTCTCTACCAAGTTATACTTTTAATGGCAAACTTGGGTTTGTTGCCATGTGATCTGTGAAACAGCACTTTGATGATGGATTGAAAGAACAAGCATAAATAGAAACAACTTGTGACAATCTATATACTATACTATACTATACGACACCACTTATATACCATAGGACAAATGATATAATGAATTACTATATGGTAAATGTAATATTCAAAATTAGTTTTTACAATTTTCTGGGTGAGTTCATGTAATTCCTATTTCCATTTTCCCTTCCCTTAAACTTCTTCATCTCCTTTACTTTACTCTCTTAATCTCTCTTGCATTGGAAAGGTTGAATTTATGTCTAATTGTTCTTCTGCTTTTACACTTTCAGACTAAAAAAACCCAAAGGAAATCTCTTTCCAATCTGAGGAATTTTTGTTTAAAAAGACAGTCTACCATTATATACATTGCAGCCAAACTTGAGAAAATCATCTCAATTTCTCCCTGACAATTGTACCAACAACATATAACACTACTTAATTACATCCTGGCATTCGTAAGACACTGGCTGTTCTGAATTAATACACTTGTAACTGACTGTCCAATAAAGCATACTGAACACTGATCCTGTTTGTTACATCTGTTCTTTGCATGAACAGGTTAGTTTACTAGAAATATATAGTATTCCCTAGAAAGACACAGTTGGGTGATATAGCCTTCGATTTACTGGAATGGAGGCAAGCTGGATTATTAAATACAAATGATGATAACGATATACCAAATTGCATGAGAATATGAAGTGATATGAAAAAACTGAAATAACTGGCCCTACTCTCTTCAGTGTTTAAAATAAAACTACTCATTTAACAATACACACTTCTGTCAATATTTAGGTTTAGTTCACACAGAAGAAACTTGTGACACTTTTTGAGGTCAGCATTTTGCTTCAACTTGATTGTGTCTCATTTCCTTTGTTCATGTATCTCATTGTTGCATGTGAGTCTTCCCTAATTTTTTTCTCCAGCTTTGTCTGCCTATTAACAAAGCTCTTGGGGCACTGCTTCATCTGTGTGGGACTGTTCCAGTTCTATTATACTAACTTTCCTTGCATGCCTCCTTATGTACAAGGTTTAAAATCCCTATTATAAAACGTGGCCTCCAGTTTTTCGGCTGAGGTATGTCTTCCATTACATTTTAGTGGTCTTAAGTATTTTTTACAAAACGCTATGTACAACCGGGCTCACTAATAGTATGTCTATTTTTGCACTGCTGTCATTTTAGCACTTACAAGTCTTTATATAGCATCTAAAAATGGGTAGTAGTTAAATATAAACAGCACTCCATCCACTTCAATGGCGAGATTAAATTTGTTTTGTCATGTACAGAACTATTCCCTGCCCCTGTTGCCCGAAATGAATGGCAAATTGCTTGCATTATGAAAGTTTACTATGTACATTAGTGGTTCTATGTGCACAAATTGCTTCTAGAGACAGAAGATAGTATGATTTGATTATTCAGTTCCAAATACATGAGGCAATCTTGTTTTTGTTAGTTGGCAACTTTATGGCATGATATTATGCTTTAAAATAGCTTATATAGTAGCCTGGATTTTATTAGTGTTAGACAACATGAGTATGAGCTAAGTCCGCTTTCAGATTTTAATGGCTACAAGCTTTAACCTCTGAACTGTATGTTCATAAATTATAATCCATATATAGCATGTTTCTCCTTATTTGAAGTTATCTTCATAGTGGAACTTTGCTTCAAGGCACATGATACATTGCACTGATATGACAACAAGACAATTTTGTGGGAAAATCTCACACAGTACTATTAAGCATCTTATTTTAGCTTTAATAAATAAAAATGGCAGAAACAATAGGCTAGCCTCTTTCACACTGCATACTTGTGCTTCATGATTTCTCTGTTACATTAAATGAAACCTTAGAAAGTGAAGAAACAGATGCAAAAGAAGTTACTGAAGCAAGTGATGATGAAAAGGATGCCGAGAGAGAAGTGGCTGGAACAGTAGCTACTGATGAATCTCAAGTGCAGAATAACACACATACTGAATCGAATGAAGTGCAGAATGAGGAAGAATCGCCTGTTGAGGAGGCATCTTCTGGTGTGCAAGAAGAGCAGGATACTGCTTTCAGCTCAGGAACAGTGAAAAGTCAAGATAATGTTACAAGCAGTATTGGTTAATATGTTGCTGTATCACTGGCAGCATGACCTTTCTCACAGTGTTACTGAGAGTATTCCAAAATGAATAAACTTGCATTTTAAAAAATACGAATTAATTGAAATTTTCTTGAAAGTTTATTTCCACTGTAGGTTTAGAAACAGAGGGTTGTTGGAAATGCAGTGGGACCCAGTGTGCATGCCCATCTACCGCTGCTGTGATGACCAACCTGGAAGTCAAACTGGGTTCTTTGTCAGACCCAGAATGCACACTTGCTCCTGCTGCATTTTAGTTCCCTATCTGAAAGCATTTGTCTCATGAGGAATAGCCGGATATACTGAGGGCTGAACACTGAACCTTACACATGCAAATTATATTCTGTGACTATAATGCAATATGTTAGCATAGTCTTAACGTAATATTGCATTGATATTTTTTCTTTAACAAATTGAAAGGCAATCTTTCTCTCATAGATTTTAAATACAGAAAAAAAATGTTGGGTTGGTGTCTTGCGTACATCTTAATAAATTGTCTAACTTTATGATGTCAGCTTGTATTCTTGCAAATGTGTAGTACTACCTGGAATCTATTCTGTTACTCTTCTATTAAGAGGAGGCACATTCTCCTAGGTCTGAGTAGGCCCAGGCCCAGTAGACTAGCCCTGCCCAGTGTCCCCAAGGGAGTGAGCAATTTTGGACAGCTGTCATCCTAATTCCACTCCCCTCAGTGCTCCCATGCAGAGTCTCCTGGGATACATGAAGGAAGACTGAGAGGGAAAGAAGTGCCTACCATCCAGTGGGCACATTGCAGGTCTTGTGGCAACACTGCTTAGCTTAGTTTTAATATTTTAAATAAGAATGTGGCATAGATTTTGAACTTATTTAAGAGAAAGTGCCTGAGGAACCATAGGATGCAGCAGATACCCCTCTCCAAATCTGAAGATAAAGCGCCAACCACAGAGAAGGAATATTGAAGAGAAGAAGAAGATTGTCCTTCCTGAGTAGAAAGTTCCATGGTGGCTTCTTTTTCTGAAGTTCAAAGTTCAAACCTGGGATATGTTAGATGGGGTCCATGGTTGGGAAGGGGAGAAGCCATGGATCTGCTATATTTAGCAGGCTTTCAGCCCCTATCCCACTCAAAGCAAGCAAATTGGAAGGGTATTGAGGCCCATCAATCAAAACATGCACATATGGAGGACACGGAGGCCTGAAACAAACTCCTTTGCTAGTCTCCTTCCTGCTGACAAGAGGTCAAGCAAGGCTTCAGAGGGATGGAGCTCCCTGAGATAAGAACCATACATCATTTGGGCTAAATACTCATAGGATTAATCTTGAAGGGTCTAGTTAAAGTACCACCTTCGGTTAGTCACAAAAATTAAATCTGTATAAGTCTTACATACAGTAGCCTTTATTTACTCTCATATAAGTAGATGTGGACCCAGCTAGGACAGAGTCCATCATGCTCCAGGAACAGAACATAACTGGTGTTTTAAAAACAAAAATCCTCCAATGCAGATTCCAAGTGTGGGTTGCAGTGGAATTTCTGGGAGTGGGGTTATGGTACATTAACCTGGCTTGTGGAAGATTGAAAGTCACTGTCTGCATTTAGTTTCTTAGGTGAACCATTCTAGCCCTTCTTGAGTGCTTGTGCTTAGCCTCAGCTGTTGTCCATCAACCAGCTGCAGACTGATTTGTCTGTTGAGAATGAAGAGAAGAATGTGTTGCTCATTATTTTCAAGGCTAGGTCAATCAGTAATTTGTTTTCTGTCCTGCTTGTCCACTGGAATTCTTTTCTTTCTGAACCCTTCTAGCCTCTCCAGAGCTTGGAGTGCCTGAGCCCTGTGCCTCAGTCCCTTTGCTGTTTATATCCTGTAGTCAAGGTTTCCATTTTAATCCCAGCCTTCCACTTGTAGACTTGAAGCTTTCATAATCCTAAGAAAGATAGACTTTAATTTCCACCAGCCTGAGCCGACATGGTCAATGGTTAAACATGATTGGAAATGTAGATGAACAACTGTAAAGTCCCAGGTTCTCCATTCCTGGACTAAGTCCTGATTTTGAGTAGCATTATTGAATATACATTATTGTGGATCTGAGGATTTTGATGGTATCAGGTACACCAACAGGACTGCTCTAAGTGTTCAGCCTCTCCCAACATAGGGTAAGATTCTTTCCTCAAGCCTCTGTACACTATGTAGATAAACCAACCACCACCACAATTGAAAATGGGAAAGGCACTTTCTGTGTGTATGTCTTTAAATTACTGATCAAGGTTGATTTACCACGCCTAATTTAGGATATGAGGGAAATCACATTGGACGCCAGCTTTTGTTTGTGCTGCTCCCGTAACTCCAGGCAGATTCCAGTTGTGTTATGCTAGCCATCTGCTATTATCTTAGCTTCATACTTTTGAGAAAGAAATCCCTTCAGAGCTATCTGAACATGACATTCTGCATTAGGGAGAACAATGTTTTGATGGCTGGGTTAGCTAATAAAATAGTTCATTAAATGAAAGATGATGTTCATAGAGGAATGCACAATCTCATTCACAGACATCACTTTGTTTTCTAAACACAACTCTGGGCAGTGTAAATAGTGCACCATAAATGCTTCTGTGAAGCAAGCTCTTTGCCATAGAAGTACACAACTTTATTTCTCACATATACATACAAAGATAAATATTTCCCAATTCAAAGTTCAGATTAAAAGGAAAAGACTATCAAACTAGGCACTTAAATTTGGAAAACAAAATATTCTTGATTTGCTCTTTATTACAGAATTACTCTGAAGTAAACATTTATGGGAGGGTGCTACAAATGAGTCAGAATGAAAAATGTGTAGTCAAGTTAGTACCTAGGATAAAGAGGGCTGGGACAAAGGCATGGTAGGGAAGAAGTGTGCTTTCTGTCAAATTTTGATCTGCTTCATTGCAGTCCAACAACTCTTATCTAAAATTTCACTGCCTGTCTTCACTACAGACCAGTGGCCTGTGCCTTTCTGAATTAGAACAATAGCATGTCCAAAGTAAAAGGCTCAGAAGTCAACAACAGCTGTCCTATATACTGTAAAATTACCCCAAAGTCAGGTTCCAGTTCCTGGAACAGTGTTGCCTATGAATGGTATATTCTAGGACAGTGGTGGTGAAACTATGGCACGCATGCCACAGTGGGCATGCAGAGTCCTCTCTGTCGGCACACAAGCCAAGTTGCCCCAGCATCGCCCCAGCAGCCGAGCATTGGATAACAGAACACATAGGGGCCATGTGCATGCTCGGAAAGGAATAGTGGTGCCAGGCGATGACATCACAAGCTGCGACACATTAGCTGCGACTCGTCCGAGCTTTCAAATGGCTGGTCAGTGTGCTGCCAAGGAGGGGTGTGTGTGTATTTGCTTGGACTGGCAGTTTTCAGGTTTTATTGCAGTGTTGGCACTTTGCGATAAATCAGTGGATTTTTGGTTGCAGTTTGGGCACTTGGTCTCTAAAAGGTTTGCCATCACTGCGTTAGGGTTAGAAAAACGAGGTGTCCTGGCATGATTTTGATGGTTGGAATGTGTTTAGAATGGGCAGAAACGTTGAGGTGTGTAGAAAAAGCCACTCAAGGAAGGCTTTTTCAAAATTGTCCTATTTTCCATCGAACTTTAGCCCTATAGTAGGGTCAGGGGAGTGCACCAGGGTAGGGTTATGGTTACAAAAATGAGGTATCCTGGCATGATTTTGATGGTTGGAATGTGTTTAGAATGGGCAGAAATGTTGAGGTGTGCAGAAAAAGCTACTAGAGGAAGGGTTTTTCTAAATTGCATTATTTCCAATGGAACTTTAGCCCAGTATTAGGGTTAGGCGTGTGCACCAGGGTAGGTTTAGGCCAGTGGTGGCGATCCTATGGCATGTGTGCCACAGTGGGCACACAGAGCCCCCTTTGTCGGCATGTGAGCCACATCGCCCCAGCATCTGATTATCGGATAACAGCACATATAGGGGCCATGCAAATGCTCAGAAAGGAGTAGTGGTGCCAGGCGATGCCATCACAAGCCATGACTCATTAGCTGCCACTCGTCCGAGCTTTTGCATGGCCAGTCAGTGCACTGCCAATATATATATATTTGCTTGGACTGGCTGTGAAATGTTTTTATTAAACTAAAACCTCAGCTTTCAGGTATTATTGTACTCTTGGCATTTTGCGATAAATAAGTGGGTTTTGGGTTGCAGTTAGGACGCTCAGTCTCTAAAAGGTTCGTCATCACTGTCCTAGGATTTCTAAAAACATCCAGAGCTGAGGCATTTACAAATTCACCTAGGATCCTTGAAACACTGGAATTGCAATTTTAAGGTGTCTGTCTTAACAGTATATTATAAAAATGTGAAAACTTCTGTATTATAAAGTTGTATAATTCATCTATCTTCCATAAGATTTTTATAATAGTGGATTGAAAATTTTATTTCAATTTATCCAACCAAAATATTCAGTTGTAAGAGTAGCTTGTACCTAATGGATTCTATCTACCCACTCATTGGACACATTGACCCTCCTGAGAAGACTGGGCAGCGGGGGATGAAAAGAAATGGGAGGTCTTATTCCATGAGTGGATGCTGATGCTCCATGTAACCCATGATTTTTACCAATTCATCTTTCAGTAACTGGTATTTTCCTGAGAATACTTCCAATTGCAAAGTTCCATGCAGTGACTGTAGTTCTCAAAATTAAGCTCCTTCTTGTGGACCACTGTAAGAGCTGTTTCCATTTCCAGCCTCTGAAATGTCACTGTTATGTGTAGAGAAGACTAAAAGGAAACAGGTTTGCAATAAATAAGTTACAATCTTAATTTTGTCTCAGAATGAAATAACTAGTTTTGGAGTGATGATAATAAGCAAGGGACACCACATGTGTATCAGTTAAGAATGCCCCACTCCAGCACCTCTTCTGCTGACATCTTGTCTTCTTTGACAATTGCCTGTTAGAACTTTACAGTTCTGCCTAAGCAGTGTGAGAGCGTGTGTATATGGATGCATGCGTCAGTGTCACCATTTTGTTATTCACTTCAGCTGGCCTCTTGCAATTCTATGTACAGAAAACAGAATCCTTTGCTATTCCACCTGCTTCAAGACCCTTTCTACAT